GAATTATATACAGAACGCAATATACAGAATGTATTCATATTTTCTCAAAGCAACAACTTGCCATGTATAAAGAATGACTAATATCGATAGTTGCATTCTTTGGATTGTCTGCCATAGCTGCATTAAAAATCTTGAATTTTGCAGATGTGAACATTTCACTGGAGCAGGACAAAATTCTGTGTGAAAAGCAGACTTGAAACTCCCTATTGCCTCATACCATTACACAAAACATATTTAAAATCATTTAAAAACACCAAAGTTACCATTTTCATTTCCATATTCTGTGATGTTAGATCTTTCTGATAGTGAGGTTTGCATGCTATGTTTGTTTAGGGAGGAGCATTTTAAATAGCAGAATGAGGCACTGTTGATTTCAGCTCTCAGGAATCACTTGTGCCCATTCATGAACAGCTGACATTACAGTAGGCATACTGTTCCTTGCTGGGTACAGGCATGCACTGTATGGTTTTAGATACTGAGTGCCAATAAAAATAACTTTTGGCCCTATATGTAACGGCCTCATGTGGTCATTGGTCCTATAGGTGCTTACTGGCTGACAAGAACACTTATTTTACTAATATGTATATATTGGTATCTGGATATACACTATAGCATTCATTTCCAGGTTCAACTCTTTGAGTTTACCTTTTTATGGCACTAATTTCTTAAACAAGTAGCCTATTGTGCTTTTAAGTATTTGTATATGTTAATGTTTTATATTTAGCAAAACAGATAATTTTTATTTTACTTTTTAATCATTTTTGTGACCTGAAATGTAATCTATCCATTAACAGAAAGCCACTAAAACTTTGTATGGGCCACATCAATTCCGGAAGCATAAGCATTTAATTAACTTGAGCCAGCATGTATTTGAGATGAAAGTATCCAGGCGTAACAGTGACACAAGGAAAACATACAGGTTCCATGTAGAAGGCTCTGCACGCTGGAATTTAAACCAAGACCAAAGAACTATGAGGAAGAAACTAGATTTCAATTTTAAAATGATAGTCAGGTTTAGTTTGGATTTGTGGAAGGGTACTGTAATTTCTCTTACTCACATCAATGAAACACAGCTCAAGAGAAATTTACAGTATGTGGTTGGTACTGGTTGGATATGATAATACAAGAACAACAACATTTAAACAATATTTAAATTATTAAAATTATTCTTCGTTTTTACACACACTACTCCTCTGTGGCTCTTTCATCTCTGACAGTAAGTCAATAAGACTCACTCATTCACAGCCTGGTGTCTACCACAGAGCTCTCCTACATAACGTCTCAGGCCTGTTTCCTGGCTAGTGCACACACCTGCTAGGAAGGGAGCACAAATCACCATCTGAGAGGAGCGCAGCTGTCAGTCCTCAGTATCAAAAGGATTGACAGGCGTATCTTCTCAGATGGTCATTCAGCTAAAGTGATGTTTTTATTTCATACTTTACCTCAATGGAACGCATGAACCCATCAAAATATGAATGCTGCTCACACTGCACTAGGTGTCTTAGACCTAGTGTCACTATAAGTACATTATTCTATTTGCATTTTCATATCCTTTTCAGTTTTGGCAAAATGTTATCTATGGACATAATTTTGAAATATTTAGTGAGTGTTATTGAGCACTGTCTCAAATTTAGGACACCAGTAGTGTTATTAGTGATCCTCCCCCTTTGGCTCTCCTTCAGACCAAGTAGACGTTTAAGATACTAAGCAAAGTACAAAGAATGAATACACCAAACTAAGAAATTAACTAAATGACCTTTGCAAAAATTTGGGGTTGCTCAAATACAGACTACTTCTGTGTCTCACTGGCATTATTCAATTATTCTCACCAATATTGTAATTCAAATTATATTTTAAAGGTCATCAAACACTAAATTTACAGAAATAAGTAAAAGGTAAGACTATCGTTATTAATACAAAACCCATAGGCAAAAATCCTGCTGTGATTTATATCTGGCAAATATGTATTTGGTCAAAGATATTTTGCCTCCAAATAAAAATAAAAAGAACACACTCCTGCTCACCTTACAAGCACCCCCCAACCAAAATATTAAAAGGGATTATAAGAAATACACTTGAGCAAATATTCAGTTCAGCAGCCACAGCTGAGTTGATACAGTTTTTTCTTCTTTCCTTGTCCTTGTCTATTTTCTTTTAATAGTTCCTAATTTAATCCTGCAGTATGTCCAGTTTGGATAGTTTTCATGATGGGAACCCATTATGAGGGTAAAGTTGGAAAAACAAATTTTCCTTACAGAATAAAATGGAAATAATTTCTTGCTGCTAGAAATATAATCATCTTCAATTAATGGGTGTTGTTAAATACAAGTTTTATTTGGGCAGTATGGGGGCTCTGGGTTCAAATCCTGACCTGGGATGCTATCTACAGTATGTGGACTTCATATGTTCTCCCTTTGTTTGTGTGGATTTGGTCTGGGTGCCCCGGTTGTCTCCCATATTGCAAAAACACACGGGTGAATTAAAAATATTTCTGGAAAAATTGGCTCTCATATAAATATGTCTGTTTGTGTGTCTTCCCTGTGATGGACTGGTCTCCTGTGTGGTGTGTTCTGTGACTTATGCCCATTTCTTGCTGGGATAGGCTCTGTATCCCCTGTAACCCCTGTATTGGAAGAAGCAATTGGAAAATAGATTAATTATTTATAATTATACTTCTTGACTTCCTTGGTTTGTGTCTTGTTCAAATGGATAATAGCAACCCTATTTTTTCACACATCCTGTATTCCTGCTTTGGAACTTTCCCCTGGCTCCCTTATCATTGATTAAAGATCAAAGATCATTTCACACCTCTCTGCACCCATTCTGACTTCACACCTCTTGATTGGCCTCTCTTTCTGTCCCCTGCTCCCGCCTCTCACTCCTCCTCCCTCCCAACCTTTGTTCTCCCGCTACTTTACCTTTGCCTACTGCCCTGTCTCTCTCACACCTGAAGAAGGCTCCACGGCCGAAACGTTGTGTTCTCTTTCTTCTTTTTTTCAGCATGGAATAAACCTATAACATGATTTAAAGCAGTTTGGCAAATGACATGACATGACAATACAGATTTAAAAAGCACCAAAATGGTTTGCTAAAGCAATATTAATAATTTATTTAACAATGTGTTTTTGAAATAATACAGTTAGGTCCAACAATCAATATGTGGAAGTTACAAAAATATATCCTGTTTTTAACCATGACAATTTTCTGCAATAAATAGGTGACAAATACATATTCCAAAGCTTAGAAAGATAAAAACACAAATTAAATAAGGCTGGCAAGAACATCGGCAATTCTGATAATTTTCTGTATGTGGAATACTCAAATACTATACAATATTGTATTTAGAGTGTTACATAATTTATGTTAATATGTTTTGAATTAATTTTGGAATAATATTTTAATACACAGCACTAAGTAAATTTGTAAAAGTGCCTCGTCAGTTATCTAATTTATATTTTTTCATCTTGAAATAAAATACCTATATCTGTCAAACATAAAATATGTAACAACTCATATATAAGCTAACTGTGTTGAATTCAGGGTGCAATATGCAATTAATGTTTTAGAGATTTTGTGTTGTTAATATTCACATAGTAGATGGAATTAATAAACATGAAAAATAAAACCATACGCCCATTAAAGCCTGCAGTCTGTAAAGAAACTAACTGCATAACATTTTATTTGATGTAATGACCCGTTTGTATAAATGAAGTATAATTTATTTGTGTAAATGAATCCATATTTGCAAACCCACAAATATATATTTCGGCAAATCATTAATTTTACTGTTGAGCAATATTAATCTTCATGATGCAAAGTGCTTTATGATAAAGTATTCATCGTAATCATTTAGTGGGCATTTAAACAAAGGGTGAAGTAAATTAATGCACCTGGTTGTCTTTTTTGTGAAAGACTTCAGTAATGGTTACATGATAATAGCATGTGTCTGTTACATGGCTGTGAGATTTCAATTTTCACACATAAATGATGAGGCACACAGAAGCTGAAACAGGCTGAGGTGTTTAATGATTGCTTCTTAGGCCGGTTTGTAAAGGTTTCAAAGAGAAAAGATGGTCTTGTGGATTTGGTGGTTTCAAGCAACCAGGATATAATTAAGATAACAGGTAACAGATTGAAACCACTTGGTAATTATGACTTTAATATGGTGATGTATTTACAGTATACTTTAAATCTCAAACGTTTGTGATTAATTTGAGAAAAGCTGGCTATAAAGGAACGAAGCCTGTGTTGTGAAGTTGGAGCTGATGGATTTACAGATTATTACAGATAATAGAAGAAGGACGATTATACTTCTAAATCATAATGTTAAAGCTCACAAACTTTATACTTAAAACAAAAAGATCAAGTCTAGGTAAACATAACCTGTATAGTTTAATAGAAAAATTGTGAAAACAATAAGAAGGCAGAGAGCATTCTAAAGATGATTCCTTAAAATGATTTCAATATTCATAGACTATAATACCAAGCAACGGAGAATATTTGTAAGATAATAGATGAAAATGAAATGAGTAACATGGTAAATAATGTTTCATGCAGGCTCTTACATTAGAATATGTAAATTTTAGGAAATGAGAGTTAGAGCTACAGTACATTAGAAAAATACTTAAAAACAACTGCACTGTTAAGAGACTGACAGTGTGGGTTAAGACAGGCTGGATCCTATTAAACGTACCAGAATTAATGAAATAATCAACTTGAGCAGTTGATAACATGAGTGAACATGACATTATGGAGATTTACAAAAGATTTGGTTAAAATTGTTAATTTTGCTGTAAACTTTAGTCTCACAAAAAGTTAATTCTTAAATTAAACACCACATGAGTACAAAGTAATGTACACACATGGCTTGAGGACTAATTATAAAACAGGAAACAACATGTTGTATAAAGGTGGATAACCTCTATTTGGGTAGGTATAAAAGGCATAAAACATGCTAGTATGAATGGGATTAGGAACATTCTATTTATACCTTTAGAAAAACTTTTCAATTGGTGCTAGGCAAATAATGTGTTTCTTATTATCATGTATTTTTTCAAAAGATTTTATGAATACCACCACAAGCTGTTGTTGGTCCTTTTTAAAACAGCAACAGCAGCAATCGTTATAATCAATGTTTTCGATGGAATGGTCAGGCAGCATTCCAAAAGGTTTCCAGGATTCATCAGTCAAAGCTAATGATTAGACTGCACAGCTCTTTTTTTCTCACTGCAATCTAAATCTTACTGTATTTCACTCCTTTTTAAGGTTAAACACAATCTGTGTGGGATACTGTGCAACAGCCTGGTGATGATAACAACCTTGTTGGGACAGGAAAACAACTAATGGTAATTAATGGAATTTATAAAAGAAGTTCAGGAAGAAGGTTAGATCTTAATCTCTCACACTTTCACTTGCCTGTGTATACACAGTAAGTCTGCCACCCAGGTCTTCCCTTCTAGTATTATAGTCTATGAATATTGAAATCATTTTGAGGAATCATCTTTATCCAGGATCTGAAGTTGATACAGACATTTCGGTTTACTGTTTCAACAATGTCACAATAAAAGCTTAGCTGGGGCACTTTGGCAAAGTAGTGTGAGGACGTTTAAAGTGAAGTTAACTGTGGTATATCATTTTTCTGGAAATTCCAGATCTCTTAGTTATCTGTACAGCATTAAATGAATAAACAAAGCTTTAGAATGACAACATAATCTGCACAAAATCTACTGGACACAGAAAACTAAATCAATATCAATATAGTGTAGTGTATTATATACTATATAGTGTACTCCATTTCCATTCTCTCAGTCAAGTTTTAAGGAACTTACAAAAACAAACCAAACCTTTACATTTGTGGTTTTGAATGCAACCATAAAACAAGAGATCAGTCATTAGGCTACAACATATCTAATGATGTTGAAGTTTTAGTTGAAGATTTAGGATTTTATCCAGTAAATGGTTGCGTTGTTAAGCGTACAGTACATCTTTTCTAAGAGCAAACAAAAGAAAAAAACTCAATGCAGAATTATCTGCTAAGCAATTTTCCATGACTATTGCTCACAATATTCTGCACAATGACATCACTTAGATATCGAATTGCTAGAGTGCATAAGAAACCAGCATTCACTTTTGAACACTCATGAAAAGAAAACAATTTTCATTTCAAGAGAAGAAATGTGATAACAGTGATGTCTATCGTGTCCAGCAACAACAATCTCTGCCAGAATCAAATCAAAAGACTCATTGTATTTGAGAATGGATTCCCGGTTTTATGATCTTACTGTAGATAACAGATTCAATTTTTATCTAAGTAATTTAATTAGTAGGTGTTGTTAATTTTAACCCACCTAGGATCTTTCTTTTTATCGTTGGTAATTAAGCAACTTTTTTTTATTTATTAATGCTCTTCACTTACAAAACATCTGCTGTGGTGTTCAGTATCTGCATTAACACACTCCTGTTTTCTAACAGCAAAGTTCAAAGTGGAAAAAATCATCATTCATGGTAAATGCAGAGAGTCTCAATTCTGGCTGCTCTCTACTCCTAGCAGACTTATATCTTTTATGCCTTTGGGTTTGAACCTGAAAGACAAAAAAGATAATAAAACAGTTAGAGAATCAGATAATTTTTAGTTTTCATAACTGATAGGAATATAATAAAGGTTACAAACAAGAGAAGAACCTTTCGGCCCAACTAACTAATTTGGTTTGATGTTATTAGTTTATATGTGTTGTAAAAACCTTCTTAGAATTTGCTTTACAGTACAGTATACAGTAGGGGCAAAGATTTGTGATTAATGGTTGATGATATGTTGTCACAGAATTTTGAAATTAATCTTTCTGTGATATGTAGGATCATTGTCTTTTGTTAAAACAATCATTTACCCCAATGAAGATATTAGTTACTGAAGAAAAAATAGTTAATGAAAAAGTTATTGAATTGATTTGTTGATTGGTAAGTCAGTTATGTACTGTATGTTGTTCATTTGTGACTGATAGGAATGTTTACCATTTATCCTTGTGACAAGAAGCAGTTTGTTTTTAATTTATACCTTCTGTACAGTCCTGTAATCTTGTAATAATTAATTATAATGATTGCTTACACTTATATAGTGCTTTTATATAGAAAGGAAGCATTCTATTACAATATTTTGTTCAAACAAGGGCAGTTTTTTCTTATTTTCAAAATGAACACCAGGACAAAAGGTAAAGGAAAAAATGCACAGTAATATCCTTACATTCGTTTCCTGATCAGTAAACATAGGAAAACTGTGAACAGGACAATTGTTGTAGCAGCCAGCACGCTGAATAACACAGCTTCTGATGCGGTGTCTTTTTCTTTCATTACACCTACAAAGAAATAAAAAACAAAAGTTTAAGATTTAATATTTCCTACAAATGATTTGAAAAATGATGTATTTGTTATTTTTAAATTAATGCCAAAGACCAGTCATTATAAGTTTATTTTAAAACTAGTAACTAGTAAGTCACTGTTTTCAGTGAGTAGGGAACTGAACTTTAGAGTACTGTCTTAATATTTTCTGTGAATATTAGTATTGTTATTTTATTTTGGATACGTATTCATCCATCAGCTTTATGTAATACATGGGCGTAGGGGACAACACAGTACACCAAATATGGTAAAGCGAAATAGTTTTTAAATATTTTTCTTTCATCTGTATTTGGTCTCTAAGGAGAAATATGTTTAGATAAAGACTTATATTCCATCCATTTTCTAAACGCTTCATCCAATTCAGAGTTGCATGGGGATTTGGAGCCTATCCCATCAAGCAGCTGGTGCATGACAGGATACACCCTCAACAGGACACCAGTCACAGGGCAGACACACAGAAACACACATACTCACACCAGGGCCAGTTTTCCCAGAAGCCAATTAACCTACTGTACCAGTATGTCTTTGGACAGTGGGAGGAAACTGGAGCACCTTGATGAAACCCACATAAGCACATGAAGAACATACAGTACAAACTCCACATAGATAGTACCCTGGGTCCAAAATTAAACCCAAGGCCCCAGCACTGCAACACAGCAATGCTAGTAACAGCACCACCATATCGCCCATGCTATATGTATTTATTTAAATTCATCCTATGTGTATATTTAGTATCTGGGATGGATCCAGCAGCCTAACTTGTCTGAGAATTCCTGGTTTAAGACAGCATTACATAAATTATTACTTCCCTGGAAAACTAGGAAAGAGCTCATAACTGGTGTTTACAATGGTACTTGTTCAGTATAGCTTCCTAATGAAACAATCGAGGATAACTGTAGCGGTTTACCAGGGAAACACTGAATGTTGCTCCAATCACTCCAGACTTCGCTGTCTGCACAGAACATATTCATCCTGCTTCTAAGTCGAAAGCAGTGTTTTTCGCTTTGGTCAATGCTAACAATGGCAAATGTTGTTTCTTTAATTATGTGATTCTGCAGAAATAAAGGAAAAGACAAACAGACAATCTCAGTAATTAATAAGTTAGCTTTCTTAGATGAATCCTAGATGAAAGAAACAAAGCCTGATTAATTGAAACTAAATCAACTGCACGGGGTCTCCAAATGAAACATTTGTCCCGGTTGTGTCAGGTCGGGTCAATTCCTATCAAGTAAAACATCCTTAGCCAACACTGTAGAGCCATTGGTGACATCCTGGTGTGACACTTGCCATCCAATAGGAAAATATAATAATATAATCTAAAGCAATCCTTACAGATATTGGGTTCCACATTAAAATTGCAATTTCTTTGGACTGCCATACCTGTGTTATAATTTATAAAGAAAACTCAAGAACTCGGATACACTTTCCAAGCTATTCTTTTTAACTGTAAGGCAAAATATAGTAGAGCCTACCATCCATTCTCTGTCTTCACGCCCATATTGAACCTCATACTCCAAGCAATGTTTAGGAATTTTTCCTGTAGGTGGTGTCCATTCCAAAAGGATTTTCTCATTGTCTGTTGCTGTCAAGTTTAGAATCTCAAGGGCAGCTGGTTTCACTTGGATAAAGAAGAGCAAACAGAAAAAAATGTGATATACTGTACACTGTAATTATACTCATGAAAAACAAAACACATACAAACAAAATCTTTACAAATAGCCTAACTGACTGCACAATTGTGGGTTCTCCATCCAGAACCAATAAAAAGTAGTGTAGATCATGAAAACATTAAAATATTTATAAATTTTTACAAAAGAAGGCATCAATGAAATTGCCCATAGTTAAAGGAAGTGCACAAGCCATATAACTTTCAAAGAACTTGAGAGGACTACGGACAGTTGATATAAATGAACTAGACTGCTGATTGTAGCCCAAATTTAACCACAACCACATATAATATATTTTCTATGCATGGTAGGTAGCATGGAATTTAGTTTGGCTGCATCCCAGGTCTAGTGTCCTGGGTTCAAATCTGGACCAGGGGTTGTATCTATTTTCTCTCTGTGTTCAAGCAAGTTTTCTCCTGGTGCTCCAGATTCCTACTGTTTCTTGAAGAGATGTTGGTGGGGTTAATCTTAATCGTCCCTATGTGCTTCTTGTTTGTGTGCTTGTGTGCCTTGCAATGGATTGGTATCTAGATCAGGGTATGATACCCCAACGACCAATTCTTATTACAAATAAGCAAGTTTCTAATAACAGATGGATGTTATACTAACCAAATGCAATTATTTAAAATGCCCTTGATCTTACCCTGCAGACAGCTGTCAAATATCTATCCATTTTCTAAGTGCTTTATCCAGCAAAGTGTTGGGAGAGGGAGCAGGAGACTTTCTCAGGAAGCAGTAAACCCTGGATGGGACACCAGTCCATCACAGAGCACATTGTACAGAGACACAAACACGCACACTCTCAGGTTGGGCCAATTTACCTAAAGCCAATTAACCAGTATGTCTTTGGAACTGGAGCAACCAGAGAAAAACCCACACAATTACATGGAGAACAGACAAACTACATGTTTTTCAAACTTTTCAGGTACACACACATACAGTATAAGATATAAAGGTATATGCACTGTATTTGCGTGTGTTTCTCAATTCTGTTCAGCTTTTGGGGTGGAATGGTGCCACAGTGTTTAGGATAGCAGCACTGGTTTAAATTCTGGGGTGCTATCTACAGTACATGGAGTTGCATGATCTGTCCAGAAAAGTTTTTTCTTGTTCCTCGGGTTTCCTGCGGTTTCCGACCACAGTTCAAAGACATACTGGTACTGTAGGTTAATTCTCTTATCTAAAATTGTCCCTTGTCGTAAGAATGTTTGTGTCTGTGTGTTCCCTGTGATGGACTGGCATTCTGTCCACAATGTCCCAAAAACGCTAGATCGTTTTTGAAAGTGATGTGTTGATGATCTGCAGCTTTTTTACTTACCAAGATTCTGTGGTTTCAGTGTGAAATATGCAGCTCTCATGGGTGATTTGGCTGAAGAACCATTCACACATATGTTGAATTCAGCAAACTCAACAAGCTCTTTACTGGAAAAGTTGCACCCAACATTAAATCCATTGGACTTGATATATTTAGGACACTCCATTGCTTGATCCATTCCATTATGCCTAGTAAAAAGTGCAAAGGGCATTGTCAGCTATTCATTTAAGTTAATACAATTTAACTTACTTTCATTATTGCCTTTTTGAGAACATTGACAGGGAATTATATTAATCTTTTAATTGCTGACATGTTTATACTGGTTGTGGAATTAAAAGATGGACAAGGAAAAATGTTTTCTCATGAAAATGTATCCCTTGATGGCAATCAAAATAGCCCATACTCTAGGCATTGTGCCACGTAACATTAGTCCCCTCACTAGTCATCAGCATTTTCCATGATTATATTGGTTGCATCTTACTTTACACTGGTCTTTCAAAGCCCATTCTATAATACTTCCAAGGCTTCAGACACTTTTTGCGTTCTGTCTTGAATGCAGGCTCACAGTTGTGACATGCTGTAAATTACTAATCAAACCTGTATAAAGCTGCGGGTGTTTGTGAGCATTACAGCTTTCACAAGGGCAGATCCAAACTTCCGATGACATTAACATTAACTGTATTAACAGACATACTAACTGGTCCTTGCTAAATTGAAAAGAAAACACTAAGATATCAATGACTTTAAATTATTAACTGAAAACAAAAGTTTAACTTGGCCATTTATTTTAACTTGGCAAAAAGCCTGAATACATTCTTTGTTTCACTTTTACTTGACTAAATAGCTTCATTTAAAAAAAAATGAAACATACCAATAAAACAAGAAGTACTCAGACTGAGGTTGGACTTCATTTCCCTTCACCCATGTGCATTCCATATACTCCCGGTAATAGAAAATACATCTGAAATCTTTAATCTTGGATTCTGATGATCCTGTATAAATAAAAACATTTTGGTGGTTTAAGAAAGAATCAAATATTTTTCTGCTTTAACCTAATGATATAATGTAATGATTAATAAAAGAAACTTTGCTTTTATTAATGATATCAATTAATTCTTCATTAGAAAATATAAATCTGATTATGTTTTTCTTACCCAACAAAGGAATATACAATACAATAGCCATTGATTTTGGCTGTAATGAAATAATTCACAGATACCCAGTCCCTGAGAGGTTTTGGGAAAAAGAGATATGAAAATGACTTTAAGGATATTTTTAGCAAATGTTGACTTCAGAGTTTATGTTTTCTCATAATTATAAGTATTAAACATTTATTGGAATCAGCATTTATTTGATGTTCATTGGTTTGTTTATGTAATTTAATTTGATTCCTAGGAACTGGTAAAGTATATTATGGCTTAATTCCAAAAGTCATTGACCTACCATTCCTGGAAGGCAGTACTGTTTTTTCAGCTGGCAAGCTTAGCACATCTGTTCCATTAGAGCACTGTCCTCTCAACAAAGTCTGGATCTTAACTTGAACTTCTTTCCCAAGGTCAAACTGTGCACTGTAGTTGAAATTTTTAGTTCTGATTGTCTGTATTAGAAAAGAGTGCATTCTGGTAAATTGGATGAAGCACAATACAGGATGATGATTAGACATGATTAGAAAGAGAGATGGATCGGACAAACAAAAAAAGCTGCCTTGTCTAAGACTAGGATAACAAAGTGATTTGACTGACTAGCATAAGGACTATTACAGATATGTCTACTCTGTGCTGTCACTTACTGATGAACGTATTGATTCTGTGTCTTAGCAGTTCCATAGACAAAAATCCACACAGTCATATGAATGGTTTAGAAGTTAATGAAATCTGCTTTTGTTCATGGAGACCTGGACTCCCTCTATACTTATTTAATAAATAAATAATTTGGAAGACAATGTCATTTATATAGCTACATTTATATACTTACATGTACAGTATATAGCTACAGAATTTGCTTATGCAACCTGCTATCACTGGAAGAACATGCACATAGGTATAACAAACTGCATCCCTCCTAGGATATGAACTCAAAAGCTTTCCATCATTAGTCCAGAGCCATAACCTCTGTGCTACATTGAATCAGATCACAGAGCATATCCACTCTTATTGTTGCCACTGTTTCACTCTACAGTCATTTTTTATACAGTATATAATGTCTGATGCAAGGTACTGTATGACACAAAACACATGTAGAATTTAGAGAAAAACAGTAATGTCAAAAACAGTAACAGCATCTCCCTCTGGGCTGATAATGTTAGATTACGGCAATAAAAACAGCACAAGGCCATCTTCTCATAATTGTACAGTAGGGTGTTGTTACATGAGCTATTAGTTATACAGCTTTAAGCAATCTTTTGAAATATGAACACAGCAATTGTTCTTGAATACGTTTCAAGATAACAAAATATTAATATTATTTCCTGCTATTTTAGCACCTCTTTGAATAAAGTATACATTTATTCCATAGAATAGGATTGCTGGATATCAGATTAATATAATCTTGACCAGAAACATTACAATTACTTAATTATTCTGCTTTGTCCTTATTTCAAATTTGAAATGTACATATTTTGTTAAATTAACAGGGAATATTCTGTAACTATAAAGCATTAAGTGAATTTCCAGTTGCTAAAATTTTGCAAAACTGAAGCAATTGTATATACAGTACTGCTGTGGCTCTTTACACCATCAAATGCTTGGAACAATCTTTGAGGCACAATCATTTTTCATTTGTTTTGAATACATTCTTTGCAAGTAAAAGCAGCTTGTATTCTCTGTATTGTGGTTTGCAAAGGGAAAGATGGCTAATGCAAGTAATCTCACATGTAGCATAATTGTTAGTGCACTTCTCTCTAACAAGTGAAGGTAACCGAAGACCTGGCTACTGCTTCTATTCAGATATTCTTATGGGTTTAATATCAGCAATTTGCAGCTGAACACAAACACCAAGAAGAAGTACAATTCAGAGTGCAAGAAGCTACTTAACCAACAGGATAGTGTCAGGGTTGACATCCCTCCTTTAGAGGGCACTCTAACCTTTCCTGAGATTTATGTTAGTCTGATGTCTGGATTAGCTCCTGGTGTGTATTGTTAGGACTTTTGTATATAAACCTAGGTAATCCTGTGGCCAGGGCTCAACATTGGAACATGGATCTGAAGGCCTGCCTATGGAGACGCCTGTGTCACGATTATAGTACCTCCTCCTTAAGGGCACTCCGGCTCTTTCACTTCGGACCTGATTTTGTGCACCTGCCCCTTGTTCCAACCTCCTTCCAGCCCCCCTTAAAAGCCAGACGCCCACTCCATTCGGGGCTTTGCTCTCGTTTCCGTATTGTGTGAGCCCGGGACCTGGATGCGCCTGGCTCCGTTATGGTTTTAAGTTTCTGTTCCTGTTCCCCTTCCCCCTGCTGGTTCCGACCTGGTTCCCATTTTTAATCGTCAGTCTCGGATGGACCGCCCGGCTTTGGACCTTTTGCTTTTGTCCTGGGTTTTGCATTGGACTCTGTTTTGGATCGTTTGCCTCGGCCACACCTCCCCTGACCACCAGCACTTCATGGACACGCCCCCCTGTTTTCATCCCCGCTTCCTGCATGCCTTTTTCCTTAATGTATTTCCTTAACTCTACCCCGGATTGTGTCGTCCGCATAGGGTCTGGAAAGAATGCTTTCGTTACAACCAGAGGACCTAGGCCTTACCAGAGACATCCTGACCACTGAGCCCAGGGCCAGATTAACCTGGCCCAGTGCCTTCCTGGATTGTTTACGTTTCCTGTGTGTCTGGATGGATGGATTTCCCGGCCTGGAGTTATGGACTGTACCCTGAATTTCCATGTGAATTCGCCTGGACTTGCATGCCTTGTTTATTTTCCTGAGCACCAGAACACAAACTGTCACTGAATTCTTCCACCATTAATAAACCCGAGTGTGTTTTCCAGAAATCCGTCTCCTGTCTTTTCTTGGTAATGCCGCTCCACATAGGGTCCAAACTATAAACCTCCACGGGACGCTGTGTCATCCATTCTCAGAAGAAGAGCCTTCCGTGACAGACTGCATACTTCGTCCACTTTGACAACTTGACAACTTTGACAACTTTGTATTCCCTCATGGACAGCATTGTATTCCCTACGTGGACAGCATTGAGCATTTACTGTAGTGGAATTATAAAAAGTTCTAATTGACTTTGCCTTGGTTGTCTTCACTACATCTTGTGCTGCAGTATTGCTTCACCTTGCAACTTGTTGTAGCCTCTGTGATTTTTTAAAATGAATTTGATCCAGATCACAGTTTTAAAAGATGAGTAAAAATGCAGAACTATTGGAAATCTAGCATGGTTCTATTGAGAGATGTCAGGGGAATGTCTAGAGTTACTTCTGCTGTGGATTTCTTTGTTCCACAACTGGACTCACTTACTGTATTAATGAAGCAGCCCAGTACAGATATAACACATCCAATATCTACATACCGTACTAACATTTTGACATTTTCCATCCAGTATCCTTTTAATCTTGCCCAATTTTCAGTTCTAGGTACATTTTGAATAATTTTCTTACCACCCATCTTCCTTCAGAGGTGCTGAAATATTGAAGCTGAAATCGCACTGAACAGTTTTTCACATTTTCCAGGCTGGCAGGGGGTTGCCATGTAATGTGAAGATGTCCAAGGTATCCAGGATCAAGTATCTGTAGGTTGGTTGGAGGGTCAACTGAAACTAAATTGAGATATACAGTACTTTTGATTTGATTCAAACTGTTTTCACTTTTTTTAAAGGTTACAACTTTAAAACAGCAGGAAGACCTTGGAAAAGTCTATTATAGTAACAGTAATAGTTGCCTAATACTGCATTATACAGTCACATAAAGTATTTAATCTACAATTTTTTTTTACCAATTAGTGCCATTGGATCTCTTCACAAAGTCTGGTGGGCATGCTTGTCATTTCATGTTCCTTTGAGTTTTTTATATAACGAAGTAACTCTTTTACTGATGCACAAAGACAGTACAAAACACCACTAATTGGATTTAAACAAAAAAACATCCATTTAACCATCCAATTTCTAACCACTTCTTTCAATTAAGGGTCTCGGAGGAACCAGTGCCTATCCTGACAACCAGCAATCTCAATGCAGAGTACACCCTGGACAGGGCATCAGCCTTTGAGCATACAGTACAAGTTATTTTAATGCACACTGTGGGCTGCAGTCAATATGCTGATTTCTCATTGGCTGCCATTTTTACTTTAATGCAATTTAGTAATTTTGACATTATCTATTCTCTTCATTATCCTATCTCTCGGTGTCTCCATTTGTCTACTCTAGTTTTACTCGGTTCCTGGCAGTCCTCTTATTCTTAAAATTCAATCTCAAACAGCTTTATTTTTATTTAGTTTTTATTACCGAAGAGCTTGACTGGCAAATTAGTGTTGCCACAATAACGACAATTAGCAAGACATTTAGTGTGACCACCAGTACTCCGCTACTTGCTTTCACCCACAAACAATACTGTTTTCTATATATAGGTTTATGTTTTCTATATTCTATTATTTATGTTGCAATTGTATTTTTGATTGTAAAATGTCTTATATAATGTCTAATTAATAAATATGCCCATGTAAGCAATCTTCGTTAAATGATTTTTGCAAGTAGACTCAAAATCAAAACCATTTTGGATGGGCAACAAGTATTGAGTTGGATTAGTCAAATACTCTACTCTTTTCTTAATGAAATCCAGGTTTCTAATGAAATGTCCAAGAGATGCTTACCTGCAATTTTATTGGATGCCATGCATGCTTTCCAGTACATTGAGATTATCAAAGACACTGCAATCTTCAAAGTGGCTTTGAACTTCATGACTTAAATATCTACAATAACTGTTGAAATGAACCAGAAAAAGAAAGGGTTACACCATTGAGGTGACAATTTGAACGTTTTTCACATCACTGCTCCAAACTGCATACTTAATCACAAGTATATATTCATCAATGCATCAATGTCTTATTCCGGTAAAACACAAATTCAAAGCAGGATACAACCTGGATGAGATGTCAGCCCATTGCAGGGCATACACATACACAAACATGCACACACTTACTCCAGAGCCGTACATATGTCTTTTGACTGTGGGAGGAAACGGTAGCACCTGGAGTAAATCCATGCAAACACAGGGAGAATGTGGTAGTTGATTACTTTAATTGATCTGATTGGTTGTTTTCTGTACTCAGTCTTGAGTTGAGGGTATTGTTTCCAAAATCTTGTGTAATTGAAATTAGTGGAAATGACAATGGACCAAACACTTCTACGATGAGTGTTTTATTTTTCTTCTGCACAAGTCCAGTTGGTTAAAATTTTGGCAGCTTACAGTCAGCTCTAAGACTCAGAGATTGATACAGGGTTGATACTAAATACAAATCCCAATTGTTTTAAGAACTGAGAGCAAATTCACAAATATGCCCCAGGTAGTATTAATAATCCTGTGATTAAAAACTTATCTGGAGTGAAACACAAGACAGTTCGTCCTGGACCTAGATGAAAACCATTTACAGTATATACTATGCTGATCTCATAAAAGATGATTAAATCAGTGGAATCCTTCTCCTGGCTTATACTATAAAGTTCAATATCAGCAATTTATTTTACATTCCAACAAACGCTTAAAGTAATCAGGAGAACAGGAAGGGAAGATAACTTTTTGACAGGAAAAAACCCAAATAAACTGTCTTTACAATATTGTCTTCGTAGCTCATATGCATGGTATACTGAAATCAACCACACTGAAATCTTTTCTCACACTTAGACTTTATAAAACAGAAAACAAAAATTAAAACAAATTGATAAAATCAAATGTTATACAATGAACTTTACACTAGGGAAGTTAAATAAAAGTACTAAATTCCAGTGAGAGAACTATGCCACATAAACTTTATTAGACAAAAGAAAAATATTCAAAAACGATTTTAAGCATTTTTGTTCACATTTTAATATTTTATTTCGTATTAATTACATCAATTTATGTTATTCAAAATTTGTTTGGGAGCAAGTTTTCTCTAGATCAAGTCCCTTAAAGCATTGTTGGTACAATAACATAATGGCACCAACATCTCAATGCACAGTGATGTGGCAGACCTGCTGCATTATTACATTTCATGAGAAATTTAAGATGATAACTATTGAGTAGTTTCAATCAAGAAACTCGTTAGTTCAATTAATTGTCTGCCCTGTGGTGGACTGGTGTCCCACCCAGACTGTAATCCTGTTACACAATTAAATAGTTAACTTCACACATTTTCTATATTAAAATTCATCTTCTTACTTATGGGAACATCGAGATATCTTGCAGAACATGCCCTGCCAAAGTACACTTGCATAACAGTAAGAAGACTGGCCAACATTTCCTGGGAATAACTGAAAGAAGTGAGGATCAAAGATCTTTCCAAGATGATACAGTATTTTCTCATTTTACCTCTTTGGCCTTGAGTACACTGACTGCATCCTTTAACAGAGATTCAAAAACTCCTAGTTTGGAATGAATGTAGAGTTTACCAGGTTTCAAACTTTCCACCTTCTCTCAATGATCTAATTTAACTGAACTGAACTAATTTATTCTTAAATCAATCTATTTATCTACATATTTTCTACCTTCTATACACCCAGAATGTGCCATATTTCCATCTGTAAGACCCCTTTCCACCTTTCCATCTTATCCAATATTATCTTTCTTCTTTCACCTTATCCAACCATTTGCCTCAAATTTCTGCTCTCATTCCTACACACACCTTAATTAGCCTAAATGTTGTGTTTTTCTCAAATAATTATAACAATAATAAATTCCTTGCTTTTACAGTACATAGCGCTTTTCTGGACACTCCACTCAATGTGCTTTACAGATAATGGGGACTCCCCTCCACCACCACCAATGTGTAGCACTAGTACATTCACCACACATCAGTGGGGAGGAGAACAGAATAATGAAGTAATGGGATTATTTGGAGGCCATGGTAAAAGGGTAAAGGCCACAGGGAAATTTGGCCAGGACACTGAAGTTAACAACCCTGCTCTTTTTAAGAAAATTTGAATTTTAAATGACCACATCAAGTCAAGACCTTAGTTTTACATCTCATCTGAAGGGCAGCACCTGTCAC